CAGTTTCTCCACAACCTCGCCAGCATTTATTGCTTGCTGTTCTGTTAAATTTTGCTATTTTGACTGGGGTGAGATGGTATCTCATAGTTGTTTTACAGATTCAAACTTCTAACATTTTGTTTACCAGTCAGAAAGTAATGCAGTATGCCACCATAACTCCTTATGTTATGTCTCATTCCTCAGTTTTAACCAAATGGTCCCTGAAATACTGATGGAAAATTGAGGAAACTCTGGAGTCCATGACTTAACCTACATTTTCCTAGGCAAATCTATATATGCCCATTCGAACACTTTCTCCTCATTTATTGACTGTCTCATTATCTTGCATTTACAACACCAGTAAGAAATCTAATCTCTAATTATTTTGTGCATTAATAATATATATCTGGCAGTAACAAACTGAGGTTGAGTGTGAGGCAAAGGTAATGCTGGTTAGGATAGTTAAGTGTCAACTTGGCTGGCCATGACTCTTGATGGTTTGATAACCACGTAGTAGATATAATTTGGCAGTTATGTGGTATATAGTCATTGTCCATTTTGTGATCTGATTATTTTGTCCTCCATCTTCACATAACAACAATTCTCACATAATGGTCTTTTGAACCCAAACCATAAGTGAGGAGAAGGGATACTTGTGAAGAAAACAATATTTGCTTACAGAAAGCCAGCTATGTCTAATTCCTGAATTTGTCTATCACATAGATAAAAACAGCTATTTATTATGGACTACATGCGATGGGAAAGTCTGCTGTTAGGGACCTCTCCAAAGTTCTGAAGAGCAATGGTGTCTCTCTGGAGACTAAGGTGCGTCTGGTACAGGCCATGGTCTTTGCAATCACTTGTTATGCCTCAGAGAGTTGGACAATGACTAGGGAGGATAGAAGGAGAATTGATGCCTTTGAGCTGTGGTGCTGGAGAAGAGTATTGAGGGTACCATGGACTGCTAGGAAAACAAACAGATTCATCCTGGAGAGGGTTAAACTGGGCAGCTCCCTGGAGGCAAGGATTCTGAGGCTCCGTCTAACATATTTTGGACATGTAAGGAAGGACCGGTCCTTGGAGAGGGACATCATGCTTGGTTGGGTGGAAGGACGGCACAGGAGGGGATGGCCCACTATGAGGTGGATTGATTCAGTAACTGGGGTAGTCGGAATAGGTGTGTCAGAGACAGTGCTATTGGCACAGAACAGAGCAGAGTTTAGGGGTAATGTACATAGGGTCGCTATGAGTCACAAGTGACTGGATGGCACATAACAACAACAAAATATTATTTTAACTGCCCTATAACAAGAAAGATTTTATTTTCTAGCTCCAATCTATAAGATATCAAAGATAAATGGATACTCTTATTTGAAAATAACCTTTTAGTAAGCTTTATTGTGAGAAGAATAGCATAGACATTAACATTTTATATGTTTGTTGTTGTTAGGTGCTGTTGAGTATGACTCATAGCAATCGCATGAACAAAAGATCTGAACTCTTGTTCTATCCTGTGCCATCCTCACACTCACACTTCCTGTTACACAAAAACCCACTGTCTCAGTCACCATGTCAATTCACATGGTTGAGGGTCTTCCTCTCCTTTGCCAACACTCTACCCTTCCCAGCATCAAGTCCTTCTCCAAGGGATAGCGCCTCTTAGCAACATGCCCAAAATATGTGAGGTGAAGCCTCATCATTCTTGTCTCCAAAGAGCACTTCAGCTGCACCATTTTCAAGAAATAGCTTTTTGTTCCCTTAGCTGTCCAAGGGATGCTCAGTGCTCTTCCCTAATACCACAGATGAAAGGCTCAATTCTTTTTCTGTCGTCCTTCTTCACTGTCCAGTTCTCAGAGGCACAGCAAGCAATTGGAAAGACTATGGCCTGAACCAGACACACTTTAGTCCTCAAAGTGACATTACTACTTCTCAATAACTTGAAGAGGTCTGTAACTGCAGATTTTCTGAGTGCAATGCATCTCCTTATTTTCTGACTGCTGGTACCAAGAGTAGCATACAAAGGACACCTGTTAACAGAACTATTATTCAAATGTATGCTCTACATCTAGAGAAAAAGAGGAAGAAATTGAGAATTTTTACCAAATCTTGCAGTCAGAAAGTGTCTGAACATTCAATCAAGATGAGTTAATGATAAATTGTGACTGGAATGAAAAAGTAGAAAACAGTGAAGAAGGAACTGTAATTAGAAAATATGGACTTGGTAACAGAAATGAGGCTGCAAATAGAATGATTAATTTTGATTTATTCATTGCAAATACCTTTTTAAAAACATGTAAATGATGACTTTACATGTGGATCTCACCTAATGGGCTGCATAGCAATAAGATTGACTACATTTGTAGAAGAAATCATTGGAGAAACTCTACATTGACAGTCAAAACTAGGCTGAGACTACAAGAAACAAAAAGAGATCTTGAAAAGTGGAAGAATATCCCTTGCTCATGGACAGGAAGACTCAATGTTGTGAAAATGGCAATATTACCGAAGGCAATTTACACATTTAATGCAATCCCAATACAAATACCAATCCCATTCTTCAACGAGATGGAAAAGGCAATCTCCAGTTTCGTGTGGAATGGAAAGAAGCCCCGAATAAGCAAA